GAAGAGAGGGAGAAGGGAAATGATACTAAAACTTAACTTACATAACATAATGTAACAATAACTTAGAAAAGATTAAAAAAAATTAGTGTTGTTTTATATTTTTTTGTTTTAATTTTTATTCACTGCTTTTTGCTTTTTTTCCTTCACTTCCACCAGCACTTTCACTGGATAGAGGTCGCTTGGTAAAATATCTATCCAAAGAGGTTTGGCTTTGCCTACTTTTTAAAATGCTTTTAAAATGACTTAGGCAAATGTCATTACTCCGTGTGAACATTTTCGGGATGTTTCTTTTCAATAAAATCAGTCACTTTCTGATAATACCTCGAGATTTCCTTTATCGAGCGAGATCCTTCCACGACGAAGCAAACACGCGGACTGAGACCAATGAACCGAAGTGAATAAAAAATGGCGCTGCGAACTAATGTAACGTCGTATGGTGAGGTTTTGTTCGTACCGTGGAGCAAAATTATGTTCGAATTTCATGTCATATCCTGAAAATTTCGTATGCTGGGGCGTTCGTATCCTGGGGTACCACTGTATACTAAAAGTGGCAAAAACTGATGGCTTGACCTTAATTTCTTTTTTCATTTCCAAGTATTGTGACATAAATTAATTTTTACCCAAACTCTTCATTTATTTCAAATCTTTCAACGTTTTGGACATAAATATAATTATATTAGAAACTTATTTTTTGTACAGATTTTGCTATATGGGTTTATAATATAAGTCAATTGTATTTTGTTTATTTTATTCAATCGATGGATCGATTTTCTTGACTTAAATTTGCACGAATCCCTAATGCAAATATACGAGAGTCTATTTTTAAAATAAAATAAAATAAAGCAGTTGAAAAATATTCTAAAACCTTTCAATTTTTTATGTTCTTTAGAGAGTTATAAAAGTATTTTAAAATACATATCACTATAAAATGTATGTACTGGTCTGGTGACGTACAATACAATATCTAGGTCATTGTCACAGAAAAACGTCATTTAACGTCATACTGTATTATTGTCTTGTTTAATTCACGTCATACCTTTCTTTATCTTTTGATTTATTTTAATTAATATTTTAACAATTTACTTACACGTAAATATAATCATTTTACATGCCATCTTATAAACATAAAATAAAAAAATGAATATATTTCAAGTAAATATTTACTCTAGAAATATGATTGAAACTTCATCGATTATTCTAATGTTTTTTTCCCATAAAGATTTAAAATATATTCTAGAATCTCCCGTAACAATTCTTTTGGTCCTAAATTATTATGATATTTACTAAACATATTTTTATTTAGGGATAAAGACAAGGAAAACTCTAAACATCCTAACTATATATGTCATAAAGGATCAGTGCCTTAGGAAATGGTATAACTATTAAGGGAAAAACAAGAGATTATTTTAGGATAGATTTAATACTTGAATCACGACTTATTATTATTTTTTTTAATTTTATTTTTGTTGTCCTTATTATTCAAAAGTTATTATAATATGATTCACCAATGCATTAAAGAAACATGAAAATCATTTTACGATAGACTAAACTTATTCACGTTCATATTTTCTGTGAAAAATGTGTAATTTTGTGTAAAAATAATATGATAAATTTGACCGTAGAGTGTAAAATAAATCAAATTAATTTAAATTCGAATTAGTATTTTATAAACTTTATACATAATGTTGACAGGTAGAATATAAAAATAGGAAAAAAAAACATGAGTTACTATTTGCACGAATTAGGTAATCTACGACTTCTTTCGGCTATTTTCTTCTTAAAACTTTGAAAAAAAATAAAATAAAATAAATATAGCCTCTTAGGATCTGCTGTGTCTGTTACATAACTGCAGTTGCTCCCTTAATGATAAGTGGAGGAAAAATTTATTTCCTCATCTTTCTAATGTATTATTGTCTCTATAAATAGATACGGAAGTAATGATACACATCTTCAATCCAAACTTATATTTGCCAAAAACTTTAGACTTAATTAGAATTTCTCGTCAAATATAAACTTTTATATACCGTAATTATACGAAGTTCATATTTGTTACTATTTTTTTCTTTTATTTTTTAATTAAGAAATCATTATACTTCAGTAATTAAGTAACTTTTACAGAGAAGATCTGTGTTAATAAAACATAATGTAAGGTAATATAATAAAGAATGATCCAAGTTTTTTACAACTCGGTTAACTAGGATTAATAATATAAATTAAATAGCATATTATAAATAAACAAACAAGTTAAATTATTTTTTTAAAAGTATATCCTCTATTGAAAAAAAAAATTATCTTATCTGTATAGAAATATTATTAATGCACCGAAGCGATAAAATTCTCTTATTTACAGATTATATTTTGCTTAAAATAAAAATAATATAAATTATTATTAATTCATCTTTCAACATTATTTTAATTATCTGAAATAAGAAACAAACGTAACGTATTTCATCAATCCTTTACGTCATTTATGAAGAGGATTAATTAATGAACGTTACTTTTTGTTTTGATGAAAACTTTATCGTATTTTATTATTTGTTTTTTTAAAATGTTTTAATTTAAAAAATAATAAAATTGAAACAAAATTTAAACATTAACCTTCAATCTTTTATTTAAGCAAAAACAAAAAAAAAAAATCCATATTTTTAAAGTAAATATCAACTAAACCGAGAGCTGATTGGTTAGTATCAATAAAGCAATAGGGAACAACTAACTGATAGATTTCTACGAATCAATTGGCCAGTTTTTACGAAGCAATCATCAGTTATTCTTATTACATTATTGGT